CGTGATTCGCGGGTTTTTTCATTATTAGACGATAAATACTGAAAATTCCGAAGTAATTGTTTGATCGCCATTGTTTATTTTTCTATCACGATGGACGAACAGCAAAGGCTCTTAAAGGTAAGTAGTTAATTGTTTGTGATTAGTTTTTACGATTTTGTGACAATCTTTCTTTCAAATTCACTTAGGGGAAATGTCCACAGAAAGAGGTCGCTTTCAGGGCCTGTACTGTCGTCTAAAGAGCCGATTGCTAAGCAAAAGCGATGTGTACGTACCAAGATTCAAGATTTATAAATAAAACAGTTCGAGTTTAAATGATCGAGGGACGAGTAACGCATTGTGCACTCTATGTTGCAATCATAACAATACATGTGAGAGGAGAACTACACTGTAGCTATTTGATTAAACATTTAACATGTTTTATCAATAAATAGTAATCAAATTATAAAATATTTTTCTTTTTCAGTTTCAAATCTAGCCAACAGATTTCCACAGGCCATAGGGGATAGAAATATCACGGAACTGTTGGATCAGTTCTCATAGTACCAGCTGTCTTCTGATGAACTACCAAGTTTGACCAGGCAATAGCAACATATATATAGTTTGTTGGGAGCATAAGGGCAGAGATTAAAGATGACATTTTAGATGGCAAAAAAACGTTATGACACTCTTTCAAAGCTTGATAAAGCTATTTTAGTTCAGCCAAATATCAATTCTGACTGTGAGAGAGCATTTTCAATTATAAAGAAATTCACACTGAATTCTGATCAGAACTTGACAATGATATATTGTGTGCCTTGTTATTAAGTAAATGTAACCAAACTGGCAGTTGTTTTGAGTATGTGCCTAGTGGTGTTGTATAAAAGCAGCAAAACAAACCACTGTTGAATACAATAAAAGTTTACAGTTGAATATTGTTTCTTGTATATTAATAACAAATTTGTATAATGTGAAATTATGAACATTGTTCACATTAAATAGTCCGCATCTACATCACACGTTTTCACACGCTTTTTGACATGTGATATCATGTCATGACATGATTTCTCATTGTCAGAGGTTGGCAAGTATGCCAATATCTAGTATTTTCAGTGTTTGTATTAATTAATGTTTCTTAATATTAAACTTTACCTTAGCAGCTGAATAGGTGTCAAAGCAAAAATCGTTTATCCTTCTGGAAATCGATAATTTTGTCTGCAGCTTTGTTGGGGTTCATGTTTGCCATTTGTTATCCCTAAAGTTTTTATACGACCGCAAAAAATTTTGCTGTCGTATATTGGTATGACGTCGGCGTCGTCGTCGTCAGAAGACACATTGGTTTTCGCACTCTAACTTTAGTTTAAGTGAATGGATCTCTTTGAAATTTTACCATAAGGTTCAATGCCACAAAAGGAAGGTGGGGATTGATTTTGGGGGTTATGGTACCAACAGTTAAGGAATTAGGGGCCAAAAAGGGGCCAAAAATAAGCATTTTCTAGTTTCCAGACAATAACTGTGGAACGGTGTATGGATCTCTCTGAAATTATACTACAAGTTTCCATACCACAAAGGGATGGTTAGGATTTGCTTTGGGGGGTTATGGCTCAAACCATTTAGGAATTAGGGGCAAAAAAGGGGGAAAAACAAGGTTGTCCTGGTTATTGGACAAATACATTAGTACAAAACATAATTTAAAGCAGTGTAAGGGAGATAAATCAAATACATCATGAAATTATCTCCCTTACACTGCTTTTAAATTATGTATAAAGTAATGGTTAATGAACAATTAAGATAATTTAAAACAGTGTAAGGGAGGTAATCCAAATAAAACGTTTTGGTTACTTCCCTTACACTGCTTTTAAATTATGTTTAAAGAAATGCATATTTATAAAGGAAGACCAGTAAAAATATCTGCAAATGTTGCATCTTTTTTTTTTACAAAAAAATCCATATGAAAGATTTGACACTATATTTTAAATTCTATTATAAACATATTAAGTTAGCACTATGGTAAATTTAAATGGGTAATTATGGTTGCAAACTCCATTGGAAATTTGAATTGAGATTATGACCATATCTTGAGGGAAAGAATTTTTTGGGGGAAAAAGGGGGGGGGGGGGGGGTAAAAAGAAATTGTTGGGGGTCAATTTTTTCTCATTTCAGATTTCAGAAATAAAAAAGAATTATTCTTCAAATATTATTTTTTTTTCAAATTTCAAATATTGAAAAATTTCAAGAAGTAATCTTTAATTGCACAGTATGGCGCATTAGATTTGTAAAATCTTTGACCACATTTATTTATTTGTTATGCCGAATCTAACCGTGTATTTAAATTTTTAATTTTGGGTCCAATTTTCAAATTGGTCTCCATTAAGGGTCAAAGGGTCCAAAATTAAACTTTGTTTGATTTTAACAAAAATTGAATATATGGGGTTCTTTGATATGCTGAATCTAAACATGTATTTAGATTTTTGTTTTTTGGCCCAGTTTTCAAGTTGGTCCAAATTGGGGTCCAAAATTAAACTTTGTTTGATTTCAACAAAAATTGAATATATGGGGTTCTTTAATATGCTGAATCTAACCATGTATTTAGATTTTTTATTTGTGGATCCCGCTTTCAAATTGGTTCATATTGAGGTCAAAAGGGTCCAAAATTAAACTTAGTTTGATTTTTACAAAAATTGAATTCTTGGGGTTCTTTGATATGCTGAATCTAAAGATGTGTTTAGATTTTTAATTATGGGCCCAGTTTTCAAGTTGGTCCAAGTTGGGGTCCAAAATTAAACTTTGTTTGATTTCATCAAAAATTGAATATATGGGGTTCTTTGATATGCTGAATCTAAACATGTATTTAGATTTTAGATTTTTGGCCCAGTTTTCAAGTTGGTCCAAATAGGGGTCCAAAATTAAACTTTGTTTGATTTCAACAAAAATTGAATATATGGGTTTCTTTGACATGCTGAATCTAACCATGTATTTAGATTTTTTATTTGTGGGCCTGCTATCAAATTGGTTCATATTGAGGTCAAAAGGGTCCAAAATTAAACTTTTTTGTTTGATTTCATCAAAAATTGAATTATTGGGGTTCTTTGATATGCCAAATCTAACCGTGTTTTTAGATTTTTAATTTTGGGTCCCGTTTTTATACGCCCGTTTACGGGACGTTTTATGGTATACCGTTGTCCGTCCGCCCGTCTGTCCGTCTGTCGGTCCGTCATCAACATGTCGGACATTAACTCAAAAACGCTTTAACCAATTTGCATAAAATTTTGGTGAATTGTTTATATCTATTGAGGTGAGCTCCCTTTCCTTTTTTATAAATTTTACATTTTACGTTTCCAAGTTATGGGGTTTTATTCATTAAAAAAGGGGGGATTTCCATTTTTCGGACAATAACTCAAGAATGCTTTCACCAGCTTGCAAGAAATTTTGGTTAATTGTTTATATCTATTGACATGAGCTCCCTTTTGATTTTTATAAATTTTAGATTTTACGTTTTCAAGTTACGGGGTTTTATTCATAAAAAAAGGGGGGATTTTCCAGTTTTCGGACAATAACTCTAAAATGCTTTCAGCAGTTCTCATGAAACTTTGATGAATTGCTGATATCTATTGATGTAAGCTCCCTATAGAATTTTATAAATTTTAGATTTTAGATTTCCGAGTTATGGGGTTTTATTCATTAAAAAAGGGGGGACTTTCCAGTTTTCAGACAATAACTCGAAAATGCTTTCAGCAATTCTTATGAAACTTTGGTGAATTGTTGATATCTATTGATGTAAGCTCCCTTTAGAATTATATATATTTTATTTGTTAATAGTCTGACAACAGTTTTACTAAGTATTGCGCAACAGCATAGTGTATTGCACAACAGCAAGAAATCTTTAATTGAATATAAATTCAATTCATATAACCAATTTCAAGTTCTTTGACTACATTTATTCAGAAACCTATAATATGTCAAATATTTAATTACAATCCAAATTCAGACCTGTATCAAGCTTGAATATTGTGTCCATTTTTGCCCCAACTGTTCAGGGTTGGACCACTGCAGGCGTATCCAGCTGCGCTCAGCGAAGCAGTTTATTTAAATTGGTCTACATTAAGGTCCAAAGGGTCCAAAATTAAACTTAGTTTGATTTTAACAAAAATTGAATTCTTGGGGTTCTATGATATGCTGAATCTAAACATGTATTTAGATTTTTGATTATGGGCCCAGTTTTCAAGTTGGTCCAAGTTGGGATCCAAAATTAAACTTTTTTTGATTTCAACAAAAATTGAATATATGGGGTTCTTTGATATGCTGAATCTAACCATGTATTTAGATTTTTTATTTGTGTGCCCCGCTATCAAATTGGTTCATATTTAGGTCAAAAGGGTCCAAAATTAAACTTTGTTTGATTTCATCAAAAATTGAATTATTGGGGTTCTTTGATATTCCAAATCTTACCTTGTGTTTAGATTTTTAATTTTGGGTCCCGTTTTTTAAATTGGTCTACATTAAGGTCCAAAGGGTCCAAAATTAAACTTAGTTTGATTTTAACAAAAATTGACATTCTTGGGGTTCTTTGATATACTGAATCTAAAAAAAAATGTGTTTAGATTTTTGATTATGGGCCCAGTTTTCAAGTTTGTCCAAGTTGGGGTCCAAAATTAAACTTTGTTTGATTTCAACAAAAATTGAATACATGGGGTTCTTTGATATGCTGAATCTAACCATGTATTTTGATTTTGGACATTGGACCATAATAGGTAAATTAAAAAAATTCAAGTTCTTAGACCACATTCTTTCTGTGTCAGAAACCTATGCTGTGTCAAATATTTAATCACAATCCAAATTCAGAGCTGTATCAAGCTTGAATGTTGTGTCCATACTTGCCCCAACTGTTCAGGGTTCGACCTCTGCGGTCGTATCAAGCTGTGCCCAGCGAAGCATTTTATTGAAGAAAGGTCATATATATTTACATTGAAAACATGTATGAGATAATAATGATGCTTACTGACTACATTTTTTGCTTGTTTTAGAAGGAGACTGTTTACAGACATCTGTAAGTGGGTTTGTTGATAATGGAGATTTGATCTTCCATTGCAAATGTAACTGTCAATGCTTACAAAGCTGGAGATGGAGTGGAGGTCCAAATAAAGAGGATATGACCAATAATAGATATGTGCTACCATCTTACAAAGACAAAATCAGTATAACTCAAAATGCTCCAGGTGTACATGAATATTCCATCATATTGAAGGCAACAGAGACTGATCTTTTTTCATCAGACTTTACATGTCATAATGGTTTTAATTTTAAGCAAATAAACAGATCTGAGTGTAAGTTTATTTTTATTCCCTAGTTTAAACATTTATATAGAAATCTAGTTACAATATGCTTCTTCCGTTGAAAGGAAATTCACAAAAAATGTAAAAAGGATAAGCTATTCTGTATAAATGTTATTATACCCCCGTTTAAAAAAAGGGGGGGTATACTGATTTACCTCTGTCTGTCCATCTGTCCATCCATCAGTCAGTCCATCCATCTGTCAGTCCATCCATCCATCAGTCCATCTGTCCGTTCCATAAATATTTTTGTCGCATTTTTCTCAGGAACTACATTACAAGGATTTCTGAAATTTGGTTTCAGGGTTTATATAAGTCAGCTATACTGTGAGATGCACTTTCAGATTCATCACTCAACAACTTCCTGTTTACTGTCAAGTATTTGGGTGGGGGTATAATCAGTGAGCAGAAGCTCACATTTTCTACTTGTCATGTTTTATTCTCCTGGATAATGAGCAAAACTGATTTGAAAAAGCAACTACCGTAACTGAACAAGTGCGTATTGTGACTGCATCTTGACAAAACTCATGTGATAGTTAAGATTCCACCCTTATACATCACAAAGTCCCAAAACAAGCAGGACATACCTTTGTCACCTTTCAGAAAAGAGAAATGCGTGTTATCCATCTTGTCGGCCAATCATAACCATGACGGTTGTCAATTTTAGAAACATAGAAATCTTTGCAAAAATAATGTGACATGCTGCCTAGATATTTTCCTAATGGATAGGGAAGGTAATTTAATAGAACCTCTAATGGAATAAAGAAAATGTTGTTTTTGTCTGGCCTTGATAGAGTAAAAAAAGCAAGACTTAGATATACGGACTCAGGTGGCAGGAGTGTCAATGTTCAATGTATTAATTTATGATTAGGTCAGTTGTATAGTAAACCTCTAGTAGTAGGTCAATGACATTTGATATGCAGTTGTATTAGCACTAGCACATCTCATTTCCATGGAGATTATTTTGCTTCAACCCCTCAGTCATGGTCTGTTGACTTTGAAACTTTGACCTTGTGTTACTGTACATGTATTAGTTTGTGATTAGGTCATTTAATGTGGAACCACTAGTAGTAGGTTTATAAGCATTTTCCATGTAGATTATTTGGCCCTGCCCCCTCAGTCATGGGTCTATTGACTTTGAAAGTAACTTGCTAAGTTAACTTGTAGTAGTTTGTGATTAGGTCTGTTTACAGGGAACCATCAGTGTCAAGTTTATGATATTTGTTATGCAGTTGTACAAGCATTAGCACATATCATTTCCTTGGAGATTATTCAATCCTGCCCCTTCAGTCATGGTCTATTGAGGTTGAATTTTTTACATAGTTTAATTGTTAAAGTTTGTGATCAGATCAGTTTAAGACGAACCACTAGTTAGTCTTAAGCCATTGGCATATAGTAGTATGTGAGATATATGTGTTACTATCCAGTGGCGGCGTAAAATATTTGTGTAAAGCTTTATATTTCATCAGGTAGAAGACTTGGATGATATATACCTTGTATGCAAATACCTTATGTTACGAAGTTTTTGTCCATCATATATGTATCCATTGTCTTTGACCTCATTTTCATGGTTCAGCGACTGCTGAAATAATTACTGTTTTTTTTTTTGTTATGTATTTTTCTCACTTATTATGAATATCCGGATAATTATATTTGGTATATGGGTTCCTTGCAATGTCTTCTGTCAGACAGGCTTCACCTGACCATTGACCTCATTTCATGGACAAATGATCAAAGTTAAAGTTAAAAGATTAGGTCTGTTTCTCAGATACTATGAGCAGTAAGTCAACTATATATGTGGTGTAGGTAATAATTGTAAGGGGTACATATTAGTCTGGCGGGTTTAAACCTTCATGTTACAGACTTTCAACATAAATTCTATGAGAAGTAAGACAGGTGAGACATTTCAGTGTGTGCATTCTTGTTAAAATTCCTAATACAAAACAAATATATTACACACACTTTTGCAGTATAAATATGATATTAAATGATGTATTTATTTTCAGTACTACAACACATATCTCCACCTATCCAGTCTACAGTTACCTCAACCATGTCATCACCTGAACAAACAAAGACCTCAACCATGTTAACACATGAACAAACAAGGACCTCAACCATATCAACACTTAAACCACCAAAGACAAGTTATAATAGTGAGTCTGAATGTTAGAAGTTATGTTCTATACCCATTTTCCATACCTAACATTAACAATTGTTGTTAAAGTTGAATAATTCCCATTTCTAATCGGTCAAAGGTATAACTTTATAAAGTGACTATAAGAGAAAATATCATACATCTGATAATATGAATAATTTCAGGAGTTGTCTATTCTTTAATCCTTAAATTTGAGCAGTAAATTAATACATAGCCTTCATAACTAATTTTCCAAATAAATTAGTACATTTTTTCATCAACCATGATAAATCAATGAGACAAGGCTTTTAAGGGATGAACTTATATATAATTAGCTGTAAAAACAAGGCTTTAATAGTTGTTGCACACATGTAACTTAATATACAAGACACTTGGGAATAATCTTGGAAGCTTGTGCACACCTCATTACATGCCCTTATATTTTTTTTTTACAATAAATAAAAACACTTTGTGATTGAGCATGATATACTGTAAACCAACTTATTTTCGCGGATACTTTATTTCTGGTCCTTTTTCCCGGCGATTTTATTATCGTGATTCTCAAATTTATTTGATGTAGATAAATAAGGAGAAATCGAAATTACACATTTGTGACGATTTATTTTTGGATTATTTTTCTACTTGTGAAAGTTGCGAAAATAAATTGCTTGCGAAAATTAGTTGGTTTACAGTATGTCAGAGCATTTTCAGGCTTTGAAGTGATCGATATAGAAAAGCTGTAATAACACCCTTCAGTTATTACAGGCATACTTTTTCTGTAATAACATAGGTGTACTATGCATGATTGTCGAACTATTTATAGTTTGGTATACATAAAGACGATAATTATATCGTAGAACTTGTATACATTTAAAAAAACAAAAAATGTATATTGCCCCTTTGAAACATGTAACATACATATCTTTTCACAGTTTTTATATGACCGCAAAAATTAAAATTTTTTTGGTCGTATATTGGTATCACTTTGTTGTCGTCGTCTTTGTCAGCATTGTCCGAGACAGATGGTTTCCGGATAATAACTTTAGTATAAGTAAATAGAAATCAATAAAATTTTAAGACAAGGTTTATAACCACAAAAGGAAGGTTTGGATTGATTTTTGGGGTTATGGTCTTAAAGGTTTAGAAATTAGGGGCCAAAGAAGGGGCCCAAATAAGCATTTTTGCAGTTTCCAGACAATAACTTGTGTTTTAAGTGTATGAATCTCTCTGAAATTATACCACAAGTTTCCATACAACAAAGGGATGGTTATGGGGGGTTATGGCTCAAACCATTTAGCAATTAGGGGCAAAAAAGGGAAAAAAAAAGGGTTTTTATGGTTAAAGCACAATTTAGACAATTTAAAAGCAATGTAAGGGAGGTAATCCAATCCATATAAAGAATACTTGTATATATGTTTGATTACCTCCCTTACACTGCTTGTAAATTATGTATTAAGAAATGATGATTGTCTTGAGATGATTAGCTTTAAATTTATTTTTAGAAGTTACTATTATTTAATATTAATTTTAACCTTGACTGTATGTCATTTTATATTTTAATATTTTATGATGTATTTAAATGAATAGTTATGGTTGCAAACTCCATTTTTTTTGGGGGGAAGGGGGTGGGGGTTAATATTCAACAGCATAGTGTATTGCACAAAAGCAAAAAAAAAACGGGTAAGTTTTTTTTTTTGGGGGGGGGGGGGGGGGGGGGGGGCAATTCACAACAGCATAGTGTATTGCATAAAAGCAAAAAATTGAATATCAATTCAAATCATATAACCAATTTTAAGTTCTTTGACTACACTTATTCTGTGTCAGAAACCTATTATGTGTCAAATATTTAATTACAATCCAAATTCAGACCTGTATCAAGCACGAATAATGTGTCCATTTTGGCCGCAACTTTTCAGGGTTGGACATCTGCGGTCGTATTCAGCTGCGCTCAGCGAAGCAATTTATTGAATTATTTTAGTCCACAATAACAAATGTATGTTTTCTTTCTCTAATAAGGCACGGATAAGATATATGATTGTTTCTGGTTACCCAACCTAACCCATTTCAGCTGCAATTTGAGACATTTTATTGACGTCAAATAACATTTTGTCAAGTCAGTTAAGGAAACAGTTTTTATTTAGATTAGCCTTTGAATCACATCTTCTAACCGTTTGCATCAAACTTTAATTTTATTATTCACGTCTAAACATGTGACGACTTTATGACAGACATTCTTCATTGGATAACATGTGATAAAATATGTGGATACATGTTTTAGTCTATCAAATTTAAGGAGCTTCTGCAATCTATTTTGGTCTCTATCTGCTTTGTTGAAAAGAGTTATATAACTGTGAGTTTAATTAATTTGAGCATTAACATATATCGAAATGTTATATTTCATTTACCTTTGCTGTAAATAAGATCTTATACATGTGATATTTATGGTAAATAAATGTCTGTGCTGATAAAAGATATTGATTATGAAATTAATTATTTTCTTTGTATGTTGTTAAAGGTAAACTGAATGATGATGAAATAGTAGGAATAGTGGTTGGATCTTTGATAGTGGTAGCACTAGTAGTTGTAGTAGCTGTATTCTTAGTTAATAGGGAATGCAATCCACCAAAGAAGGAACAGAGAGAAGAACAAATGCTGATGAATACAACGCCACATGTGGAGCAGGATCTGCTTACCCTTCCGGAGCACCCGAGATCACCCCCAGTTTTTGGTGGGGTTCGTGTTGCTTAGTCTTTAGTTTTCTATGTTGTGTCATCTGTACTATTATTTGTCTGTTTGTCTTTTTATTTTTGGCCATGGCGTTTTCAGTTTGTTTTCGATCTATGAGTTTGACTGTCCCTCTGGTATCTTTCATCCGTCTTTTTTAAGAGTAATATTTGTAGTTCTAAGGATGATTGATAGGTAGGTTTAAGAAGCTGTTATACATAATCAAATGATCAATTTTAATATAAAAATAAGAAGATTTGGTATGATTGCCAATGAGACAACCCTCCACCAGAGACTAAAGGACTTAGAAGTTAACAAATATAGGTCACTGTACAGCATTCAGCAATGAGCAAAACCAATACCGCATAGTAAGCTATAAAAGGTTTAAAAAGATAAATGTAAAACAATATAAAAGAGATAACCAATCAATATGTGCTGAGTATTGTGTTGTGTTATGCTTCCTGTCATTCATGAAACACAAAGGTTCATATCAACATGATCAATGTTATAATGCTTTGGTGAACATAATGGAATATCTGTGTCATAAATAACCATGGAAAAAAACTTTGTCTTCTTTAGATTGCCTTTATGCTTTCTTCCTACATTTCTATGAAATATGATATGAAGATTTTTATACCCCCCCCCCCCCCCCCCATAGCAGAGGGGGCATAAAGTTTTACCATTGTCCCTCTGTACATGTGTCCATGCATATGTCTCAAAGTTAGTTTCCGTTCTATAACTTTAGTTTACCTCAACCAAATGTTATGAAACTAATACACAAGGCTTATATTACCACAAAACACAGATCAAGTTTGAATTTTGGTGGCATCACATTAGCCGCTCTAAAAGTTATGCCCCTTTACAAATGGGTTTCTGTTCTCTAACTTTAGTTTTCCTCAACCAAATGTCATGAAACTTGAACACAATGCTTATTACCACAAAATACAGATTAACTTTAAATTTGGGTAGTATCCCTTTTACTGTTCTAGAGTTATGCCCCTTTGTGAATGAAAAAAATAGCTGAATTGTTTGTTTCGGTTATCTTACTAAAGTTTGCCTCAACCAAATGTTATGAAACTTTCCACAATACTTATTACCACAAAAGTCTGATAAAGTACAAATTTGGGTAGCGTCACTTTTACTATTTTTCAGTAATGTCTCTTTATAACTTTACATGATATGCAACCTCAAATACCTTAAGGTCTTCAGCGATAGGTAAACATCTATTCTATTCCATTCTATTATTTCAAATTGTGCTTTGATATTGATTTTTTTTTGCATTTTACACAAGTATAAACTTATCATTTGTATGTACCAAAGATTTGTTGAAATGAAGGTTTAGTGTCAAAAAGGGAAAGCAAAATATGCAACATTCATTAAATAAAAATCAATTTATATATACTTTTCTTAATTGTGTGATTATATTGTAGGACCTACAAGAACCAATGTGAATCCTGATGGCATTGATTATTGGTTTTGCCTTGTAAGTTAGTTGAAATTTCAAAATCAACAGGAATTATAGCTTGTACTAAAGTTTTGATAGAGTTTATGTTTGTTTTAATGCACATTATGAATTATACTTAACAACAAAAGAAACACACCATATCCATAGTGTATAGTGAAATGTATTTTTTTAAGTTGATTTACTTTATTTTGTTATGTTATAATAATCATGTTGTAAAGGCATTAATTGTCCATTTCATTCATAGTTTTTGGACATATTCATGATATCAGATAGACCAGGCCTTACCCAGAAATCTTTTTATACAGGCATTAACGTTTATTTTTAAATTCATCATATTAAAAAATATTTTTTGGGTATGGATCGGCTCATATCTAAGAATTGATGAAACATTCTGAAAATAAGGCTTTTTTACATTTTTTTTGCAGTTTTGAATCAAATCCAAGAATTGAATGCCTATTTGTAAAACCAAATTCAATAATACAAATACTAGTGTACCACAGACTAATTTTTTATATATGATCATAAGAATGTTGTTATTTGGTAGATTTACAACACATTTTAGTGTTCTAAAGAATTTAAGCTGCCAAAAAAGTGGCTGTATCATTGCTTCTCCTTTAAAATGAAATGTTAGCTTAATTAGATTTATATGTGTAATCATGTTAGGAAAAATATTGAATGTTAACTAATAAGAGCTTTTTCCATGTTGAAATTGAAATGCCCATTAACATTCATGTTAAGGGGCAATCAGTCATTAGATAAGGTCCAAGTCCTGAACTTGCTTTATCTTTTGAACTTATCAAATTAAAGTTTATTTGAACATTGCAAATTGGTCTTTGTAGGTGAAAAAACTACATGCATGTTCAATCTTTTCTAACAATTTGAAGTAGCGAATTAAAAGTAAAATGAATAAAGTTGACCTGGAACTATTTATGCTACCTTTAACTAGTAATTTCATAAATAAATTTCATGCTCACTTTTCAAAATTTATGTAAATTTGCTGTTAAAATAGAAGGAAATTCAGCATTGACTTCTACTTGTTCATCACTGTGCTATGAATTTATTGAACCTTAAACTGCCAAGAGCATTTTCCATGTGCAAGTATTCAGTAATTACAAGTCAAGCCTGTACTGTCTCAGCGTTGTTGCATTAGTGATTATTTTTGCTTCTGTTTTTAAGATCTTTTACCTATTTTATATTTTTATACCGGAACAATTGTAATCATGTAATATAAAAAATGAAGTGCCTCAGTTACAACACATATCATTTAAATATTAATTTGGTCTTTAATTAATTTTCAATGAAATCAAGAATAATATATAAACTGATCTTAAAATTAATATATTATAAGTTATTGTCGAGCCTGCGACTTTTGTCGCAGAAAGCTCGACATAGGGATAGCGATCCGGCGGCGGCGGCGGCGGCGGCGGCTACGGCGGCGGCGGCGGCGTTAGCTAACTTCTTAAAAGCTTTATATTTTAGAAGGTGGAAGGTCTGGATGCTTCATACTTTGTATATGGATGCCTCATGTTACGAAGTTTCCGTCAGTCACATGTCCAATGTCCTTGACCTCATTTTCATGGTTCAGTGACTACTTGAAAAAAAAGTTAAGATTTTTTGTAATGTTAGATTCTCTCTTATTATAAGTAATAAGATAACTATATTTGGTATGTGCGTACCTTGCAAGGTCCTCATGCCCGTCAGACAGTTTTCACTTGACCTCGACCTCATTTCATGGATCAGTGAACAAGGTTAAGTTTTGGTGGTCAAGTCCATATCTCAGATACTATAAGCAATAGGTCTAGTATATTCGGTGTATGGAAGGACTGTAAGGTGTACATGTCCAACTGGCAGGTGTCATCTGACCTTGACCTCATTTTCATGGTTCAGTGGTTATAGTTAAGTTTTTGTGTTTTGGTCTGTTTTTCTTATACTGTATGGCATAGGTCTACTATATTTGGTGTATGGAATGATTGTAAGGTGTACATGTCTAGCGGGCAGGTGTCATTTGACCTTGACCTCATTTTCATGGTTCAGTGGTCATAGTTAAGTTTTTGAGTTTTGGTCTTTTTTTCTAATACTATGTGCAATAGTTCAACTATATTTGGTATGTGCGTACCTTGCAAGGTCCTCATGCCCGTCAGACAGTTTTCACTTGACCTCGACCTCATTTCATGGATCAGTGAACAAGGTTAAGTTTTGGTGGTCATGTTCATATCTCAGATACTATAAGCAATAGGTCTAGTATATTCGGTGTATGGAAGGACTGTAAGGTGTACATGTCCAACTGGCAGGTGTCATCTGACCTTGGCCTCATTTTCATGGTTCAGTGGTTATAGTTAAGTTTTTGTGTTTTGGTCTGTTTTTCTTATACTGTATGCCATAGGTCTACTATATTTGGTGTATGGAATGATTGTAAGGTGTACATGTCTAGCGGGCAGGTGTCATCTGACCTTGACCTTATTTTCATGGTTCAGTGGTCAAAGTTAAGTTTTTGAGTTTTGGTCTTTTTTTCTAATACTATGTGCAATAGTTCAACTATATTTGGTATGTGCGTACCTTGCAAGGTCCTCATGCCCGTCAGACAGTTTTCACTTGACCTCGACCTCATTTCATGGATCAATGAACAAGGTTAAGTTTTGGTGGTCAAGTCCATATCTCAGATACTATAAGCAATAGGTCTAGTATATTCGGTGTATGGAAGGACTGTAAGGTGTACATGTCCAACTGGCAGGTGTCATCTGACCTTGACCTCATTTTCATGGTTCAGTGGTTATAGTTTAGTTTTTGTGTTTTGGTCTGTTTTTCTTATACTATATGCAATAGTTCAACTATATTTGGTGTATGGAAATATTGTATGATCTATTTGGCAGTCACACAGGTTTTATTTGACCTTGACCTCATTTTCAAGGTTCATTGCTCAGTGTTAAGTTTTTGTGTTTTGGTCTGTTTTTCTTAAACTATAAGCAATAGGTCAACTCTATTTGTTGTATGGAAGAATTGTTAGCTGTACATGCCTGCCTAGCATGGTTCATCTGACCTTGACCTCATTTTCATGGTTCATTGGTCAATGTTTAGTTTACTTGGTTAATGTTAAGTTTATGTGACAGTTGTAATAAAGCTTTATATTTAGGACTATCAACATAATATCAATGATTAGTAAAGAAGGCGAGACATTTCAGCGTGTGCACTCTTGTATATGTAGTGACTTGTATAAGTTTACATTCAATTTGGCATAAAGGAATACTGTTTGTCTTTGGAAAAATTGTATAAGACAAGATACAAGCTAGCCAAGTGGAGAAGTTTAGATGTAGCAGTCCTATGATTTGTTGTGTTGTTATCAACATTGAGTTCAATCTGTGATTAATGTTTTAAGACATCAGTTACCTTGTGGATGGAACCTTCAAAGTTTTGTTTGAAACTTGGCCAGAACCATCTTCTCAGTTGAGTGATTGCATCTGGAACATTTATTTTCTTTCTATGATCTGTATTTTACTGAGAGACTAACTTTTTATCATTTACAGACATAATCATGTATATATTTTAGGATTCAAATATCCATATAACTGAACAAATTGTTTGTCTGTATTTTATATTTTTATTTATATTAGATGTTTAGACAGTCATACTTTTATTTATTCTATTGCATAGAATTATAAGAGTTACTACAATTCTTATTTTTATGGACCATTTATGGGCATTATGTTTTTCTGGTCTGTGCGTCCATTTGTCCATCCGTCTGTCCATTTATTGATCCGTTCTTTCATTCGTCTTTCCCACTTTATGTTATTGGTCAAGGTACTTTTTGATGAAGTAGAAACTTAGTACACATGTTTCCTATGATATGATCTTTCTAATTTTAATGCCATATTAGAGTTTTGACCCCAATTTCACGGTCCACTGAACATAGAAAATGATCGTGTGAGTGGGGCATCCGTGTACTATGGACAGGTTGTTGTTTTTCATGTATAAAATACAAATAATTAAAATTAAAATACAGTCGGCTTTCATCTCAAAATGTCTGTTGAAATTTTCCAGTGCTTAAAGTGTGAAATAAGTTGATAACTCAAAATTAATCAATTAGTGTCTTCAGTCTTCTGTATTCTCTTGTGGAAAAAGGTCTTAATAAAAGAAAAGTATAAGAAATCTTAATTTACTCAAAACTTAGAAGAGAGTAGGGTGCAAAAAGGCTTTGGCCAAAATATTACTGCTAATTTAAAAGTTATCATACATATTCCTATCTGCATCTGCATCAATTTATCAATGAAATGCATGTGACTTTATTCATTAAACAGAACAACTATCCCAACATTTTGTATGTTTGAAGCAGTTTTAATAGCTATTTCATCTTATATATTCAAGCAAAAAAACATACAGTTAAGACAAAATGCTGTTAAAAGAATAATGGCATTTATTTTTTTTATACTGTCATCATCAGCTCGAATATTATCTTGCCCTATCAGGCTAGCTCTATAATCTGGCTGATCAAGTTGAATCAAAAACAAAAATGCCATTATTCTATATATATTTGTTATTTTCCTAACCAAAGAATATAATATTATAAATACATATAAAGCTACGTGATTCTGTACATTTGGAAGTTTGTATAAACATATCGAAATGACTTCGTATTCTTATGTTAACAGAAGATGTTTATTATGTTTATGAGTTAAACATTCCAGCCGATTTATGAAAATGTTAGTTGTTATTTTTATTGAATAAAATATGTTGTTTTGCATTGTGACTCTTTTTGTCTCACCTTGACAAAATTGAAAAAGTGATACTTAAGCAAGCTGTTTCAGACAGCTATCGTGGTGTAACAATGTAAAAAGTATCAATTCTTTAAATTTCAGTAGCCATTTATCCATACTGATGGGAAGATGGAACGTTTTCTCAAGAGTATACAAAAAAACTTTTGACATCAAAAGCATGTAGGCTTGGAATTCATCTTAAAAACAGTTAAACATAAACTGACAATATAACAGCATTCAATAAATATTTTGACCCCATTTTCCGGGTCTGGCAAGCATTTGTTTTTATGTGGATTTAAAAAAAAAAAAACGGAATTCCAATGGGAACTCACTGTGCTTCTCTATCTTCCAGCTGATCGGATATTCATCGACTTGTATTTCCAATCATGATTCCTTGATAGAGGGTTGCTGCTCTGAAGGAAGTTTTTAAACTAAGAGTTCCAAGTGGTGAAATTTTACGGACACCATCACGTGTTGGTTGATCGTTACAGAAAATCCGTTTCACTGATGACAACTGATATTCCATAACGTTATAACGTGACCTACCGTCTTAAACTTATCAACGGGTTTGTACTAACATGGGCAACACGCATCAGCTTATCGTTTTTGAGCACTTGAGGTCACCCTAAATTTTTTGGATGGGTTCGTTAGTGTCTTCAGATTATTATCTTGTGAAATGTGTACTGTTGTTTGTCTTTTCTTTTGGCACTGGCTACGATTTTATCAAAAATTAACAATAATAAAAAAGTTAATGTTAGGTTGGATACTAATTGCCGTAGTGATTTGATGTGTAAAGAGCCGAATCATTACCAACGTAACAATAACATATGTTTATTCAATTATATTGCGTTTTTGTTATGTTACATTTATGAAACTTTTAACCTACTATAATTTTGCTTAATTTTTCGATGTCCTTGATAGTAATAATAATAATTTATCATTATAGCATATATCATTAGATTGATTGTTGGTTGCTTAACATCCAGTGACATTTCATACTATTAGAAATGGACGGAAATGAAATAATATTCAAAGACAACATAAAACAAACTCACAATAATGTTTCTAACAATAATTGTGAACAAGTGTAAAAACATTTCAAGAATATAAAAATCATCTGAAGCATTGCAGACATTGAAAGTTGCTATAACTTCAAAAGGGATATTGAAGAGTACAAACGTAGTACGGTTTATTTGTCAAAAGCGACGTTTACATTGCTGCAACACTCGTTTGAGATGGCTGCCTAGACAGGTTTCACCTAAAATGCGTCGGACCAAAATGTTTCTAAGAGCACCTACTAGATATGTAGAAACCGTCATATTAAATAGAATAAGAAAAAAATGTATGCAAAATTGTTGCATTGCAGTGTTTACGAAAAGAAAAATTTAAGTTATGTAACATTGAAGTGCATTAACTCGTCAATAACAAAATTAATGTAATCGTAGACGTACACAACTATTACTGTTACGTAATTATTCGATTCCTTACCAAATCTAGTATTCCGGAAATAAGTGTTCAATATATATATTAATGGAACATTAACTTATTAGTTTGAATGTCCTTTCGGTATCAATCGTCTCTCTTTTGTGAGTAATATGA